TAAAGGTATTTTTTGATTTTTGACAAAATCTTCATCTATAAAACATGTTGAGGCTCCTTAATCTAACAAAGCAAAGACTTTGTGATTATTAGGTCCTAAATATACTTCTATTATAAAACAAGGTGAAGTGTCTGAGGAGAGAATAGAACCTTTACTAGGTATTGCACATGATTCCAGCCCCACGGTCTTTATTATAGCTGGAGAAACTCATTTTCTGATATATTATCTTCTTTGGTAATTGTGTTCCTCATTTTGTAATTATGTTGCTTCTTTGGACAATATTGAGCAGTGTGCTTAGCTTCTCCACAATATAAATATAATCCCTCTTGGAAACGTCGAGTCTTTTTTTATTTTGTGAAAGGTTTAAAATGTATCATATCAATTTGCATTGATTCTGGCTTTGATGAATACGTTTCAATAAACTTGGGAGCTGCTGCCATTACTTGACTTGTTCCTCTTCAATCAAATCTTTGTTCTTGATGCCTTTCAAATAAACGATTGTCGCATGTAATGGCTTGAGTAATAAATTGTTTCAAAGTTTCTACTTTCGATATAATTAATAACAAATCTTTGATGTTATCCTTCAATCCATATCAAAATTGGTTGATAAGTGCTTTGTCATTTCAATCCACATCGTAAGCAAGGTTTTGGAATTTGATAGCATATATAGTGGCTGATTGTGATCCTTATCATAAGAATAAAGGCTTCGTCTCTGCTACTTGTTCTTGATCACTTTCTCCAAATGTGGCTATAAACACTTCTAGGAATGAATTCAAATTATAAAGGAGTTGTGAATCTTTTTCCATTAAAGATGCAAACCAAGAGAGAGCACTTCCTGATAGTAGTACACTTATGAATCCGACTTAGATAAATCCATCAAGGTATTGGAGAGAGTGCAATCTTAAATAGAGCTTGATTTCTTGCAAAAATCTTCAAAATTTTGATCTTGTTCCATCAAACTTCTTAGGCATAGTAATCCTTGTCCCTCTCATACTTGTAGAAGCAAAACTCCCTGGATTTGGTTGTGACATTGATCTACTTGTTTCTTTCAATTATACAAGTTCTTGCTACAAATTCTAAACTTCTTCTATAGGTGTAGGCATAGTACTTCCATGATTCATGTTGGTAATATGTGAGATTTCTACTCTTAGAGTATTGACAAGCTCATAAAGATCTGCCATAATTGTAAATCTATTCTCACTTCCATTGAGAGTAGCACCCATAATTTTTCCTTCTATTGACAACTCAAACGAATTCAAAAGTTAAATTAGAGGAAGGTAATCCCCACCTTCTAAAAATAAATTCTACAAAGAGGGGTAATCTACTTTCTTTAAGGAAAAGATCAATGTTAGAAAATAAGATTTTTTGTTTAAAGGTAGGTAGTCTGCAACCTTCAAAACATAACAATAGAAGTGGGATAATCCACTCACTCCTAAAACAAGATAGAAACAATATGTTAGCATTCTTGTCAAACTATCAAGGACATGAATCTCAAAGAAAGAGAGCCCTCAATACACTCTTCTATCACTAAAGAGAACTAGAAAATCACTCAAAAGGTGATGTAATATTAACTAGAATAGCTATTGGCAAAAATAAGAAAGACTAGAAAGTCTTGAAACAAGACTAAGACTAGAAAGGCATTGACAAGAGTGAAGAAGGCTTCACTCTTGCCTCCATATGTACTATCTAACTAAGAGCTACATGGCGATGTCTTATAGGACCTCCAGCATGTGTTGACTTTGTTAGTCACATGTCTTATCTTGCAAGGTAAGTTACCTATGTATATGCCACATAGTTAAAAAGATTTTTTACAAATTCTAATTTGTATTTATTTGACCAAGGATTTAATTATAAGACACACTAATTCTTTAATAACAAAGGATATATTAAGTACTATGTTTTTTATATTTTTTTATATATAATAAATGTAAAAAATAATAAATCAATTAAAATGAATAATTAAGAAGTAGAAAGAGACATGTTTTGGTACGAAGTTGGTGGTGTAATTCTTATTGCAATTAAATGTTGTTATTTTCTAATAAGATGACATCATTGGTTAATTTCGTACCTTATGTCTCTATTTGTTTTTTTATTTATTTATTCTGATTATTGTAATAATATCAAACAACATGGTTTAAGTTCTTGCAATACATATATGGCTTATTTGTTTTTTTGTATAAGCTTCTCTTCTTGTATTAGCAATTTAAACCAAGTTGCATGAATTTGCATATCTTTAATTTTATATTGAATGTAATTAGTTTTATTGTTTTATAAATTGGTACAATAATTTGGTGTGTGCTACACCATCTTAGTTCCTTCTTTTGTTGTCTTTCAAAATATTCAATCAATAGATGCAAATTCCTTTGTAATGAAAATTTTCATATTAAAAAAATAAAATTTTATATAATATTGGAAAATAATAATATATATATACTGACATTTTTTTCTTAATCAATTAAAAATTATATAAATTTTATTAAAAACTATTAGTATATAAGAAATAAAGGCTTTAAGAAAGAATAGTCTATGTAATGTTTTTAGTATATATTTTTTGAAGTATTCCAACTAAACACTGTCTCAAATTCCATAAAAGATGGTTTAAAATATCCATAAAAATTACAAATATTTTCCATAATTCAATGCTAGTTAAGAAGAGCTTTCAAATTCTTCTTGCATAAATTCATACAAATAATTGTACATGTTAAAGAAACTAAAAGTTATCATACTTGTCCCATCAAATCTAATTAATATATTAGTCTTGTATTTGTTTACTTATAAAGTAATATGCATATATGTGTGTATATATATAGTAAGTTTTGGTTGCTAATCTTTTTATTTATTCTCAATTTAAATTCTTCTAGTCTTTATTGATATCTATTTAAAATATTATAAGCTTTGGTAATTGAACAGTGCCAGTTTAGAAAAATTTATAAGTTCTTCTCATAAACTGTGGTTGTCTACCACCATAATAATTTATTTAAGTGTGTGTAAGAATAATTTTATAAATACACAAGTTGGTTTTATATACCACTTTATAAGAAGATAATCTACATCTTTAAAATTATTGCAGTGATTGAAAAGAAGAATAATTCAATCACATTTAATCACATTTAGAATAAATACAAGTGTACAATACACAAAATTAATTTATTCAAAATTTCAAACACACAATGATAATTATCTGAGATGTTATGGAATACAATAAAATAGTTTACAAGATTAAATACAAGACTTTGAAAAAAGTTTAATTTCTTATTCTGTATTTTAAGTAATATAATATAGTTTTTATAGTTATATTTAGTTTTTAATTACAATAATATATTCTTATCTAGCATTCAAAATGTATTAATTGAAATTGAACTCAAGATTTGTAATGGATGTCTTTAAATGTGGTAACTTGTGTATTAATGGTTTTATTATTATTATTATTATTATATACAAAAACACACATACAGACATACATTTTTAAAAGATTTATCCCACATGGATAATTTTTATAAAAAATTATAGTATATTTTGCTATGTAAAATTTAATTACATTTTTTTCTGTAATTTTTATAAGTTGAAGGATTACAGATTAAGATCCAAGAAAAGTAGATAGATTATTTAGAAATGTTCTTATAATGCACTTCAATTTCAAATTTTATTTTTCATTCTTTATTGATGAATCATTTAGACTATACTTGGAAATATACTGCAATGTAAACTGTAGATATACACAGAAATACAAACTATCAATGTTCTAAAAAAAGAAATGCCTCAGCCTACTCTATAAAATATCCATACACATAGTAGGTCAAAATTTGTGTTACTGAAATGGATAGTAGAACATGTTTGGTATCTCAAATTTGGGTAATTTACAATAAGCCTATTTATTTTCTTTAAAATATATATAATATTAAAAAAATGGTTTGAATTTTTTCGATTAGAAAAGAATTTAAAATACACAAGCATTCTTATTTTTATTTTTATTTCTACCATCAAGTTTGATTTATCTACAAGGCATGTCAAACATTGATTTAATGCACTAGCATTAGTGAAAAAAATAAAATTACTGTAGTCACAGGCATGTACACAATTTTAGAATAGATTGTAATATTTATATAATCAATATAAGTGGAAGATAACTCACTTCTCGTTGTCCAACTACATCATAATCTTTACAAAAAGAAATTACGCAGCAACTCAAAACTGTAAAGTTCCTTCAGACCTTTTTCACGTAAGATTTAATATTGTAGTTAATTCATTAATCAACCAATGTGAAACAACAAAGAACATACATTCAGAAACTAAGAACGGAAGGTGGAAGGAAATGAGAGAGGAAAGAAAAAAGGAAGATAAAGATAAAGTTCAGAGCAGGAAGAAAGGTAGAGAGACGAAGGAGATTTAAAAAATAGCAGGATGAGAAGGAAAAAGCGAAAGGAAGGATGAAAAGGAAAAGGAGAAGGAGGAGGGGGGGGTAAAGCAGCCAGCTCGACGTAAATAAAGGAGCTGTCTCAAACTCATCCGAAAAGCAGAGAGAATGTTAAGAGTATATTCCGTGTCTAAATTTACACACACCCATGCTATTTACTTTTCTCGGCGTTCAATTCTGAGATTCCCTCGGTAACTTCCCTCCCCCCTCCAAGTACTATTTTCTTAGAATTTCCTAGAATCGTCCCTCTGATTGCGAACCCCTTTTCACACCATATGTGTAGGATTGGAGTGTTCCTATTCAGTGGTTGCAATCGTCCATTGAGCTACTTCCATGAAGTCCCCACAGATTCCAAGCGATGAATCCAAAAGAAATTCATTCATCCAACAGGATGAAGATTCATCCTCATCCTTGCACAAGCAACAGCACGCCATGGGGCTTACATCCATCCACTCGCTTCCCGCAACCCTAGCGAACGATCTCTACAGGATGGCCGTTCTAATTCCGGCATGTTGGATGAGTTACATCATATGATCCCCGAACTGAATGCGAAAGTGGATGAAGAAGCTTCGTTCAACTGTGTGCTTGTCGGAATGGGGGGGGGTACCTGCGAGATGCAGTCTGCACAGTCGTGCAGCAGCACTCAGTCAGTCTAGTTTGCAGCACCAGGGCACCGTCTCGCGACTCCGGGCTTCATCGATTGTTGCTCAATGCGGCACTTCGCGGATGTAGGCTATTTTCATGAGGTGAGTTGACGCCGCAGCTATGAATTCTACATCTCAGTGTCGCTTCGCACACCACTTCCGCAAGCGTATCCCTTCTTATCGTGCTGTTTTAGCGCACTCCATCTGAAATTCGAGGTCCATTGACGCGTCTTGCGAAATGCCGATTGAAGCCGGTGTGATAATTCGCGCTGTAGCGTGACAATTGCTTAGGAGATCCTCACCGGCCATTGAGTCGACGTTTAGACGCTTTATCTTTTTGTTGCTCTTCTTAAGGATTTCGTAGGGTGTGCAGGTGTAGAGTTTTTTTTTTTTTTTTTTTTTTTTTTTTTTTCTGGTTCGCTTGGGGCTTGAATATTAATTTAGTGCTTCTCATGCGGAATGACTTACAGGTGCTGCCGAAGTTGAAAATGGCTGACGCAGAGGGAGTACGAGGAATTTTCAACTGAGAGAGCGGGGTGAATTTTCTTGCGAACATCTTCACTTCTTCGCTGTTCGTGCAGAGTTGGAGGGAGTCGGGAGAGATGACGGAGGAAGGGAAGCCGTTTAACTGCCCTATATGCCTGGACCTGGCCTACAAGCCCGTCGTGCAGGGGTGTGGCCATATGTTTTGTTTCTGGTGCGTGCACCGATCCATGAACACCTCCACAGTCTCCCATTGCCCGGTCTGCCAGAAAGCCTACATCCACCAACCTCGAGTCGCCCCCCAGCTCCATCACCTTCTGCAGCTCATCTACCCCCGAGAATACGAAAGCCGCGCGCTGGAGGTTGCAGCGGAGGAATCTGACCAGAATCTCTACTCCCCTGCGATAGAGCCCCTCTCGTCTTCGTCCTCTCGTAGCCCTAAGACCACTCTCAACTGCAATGTCTGCAAGAAGCTGCTCTGCAAGCCGGTGGCGATGAACTGTGGCCATCTCATGTGCCAGTCATGCGCCGTGTCTAGCCCGTCCAACACTTGCCGCGTCTGTGGAGTGTACCACCCCGGGCCATTCCCGCTGGTTTGTGTCGAACTTGAGCAGTACATGGAGAGAGAATTCGCGCGCGATCACAAGCTTCGGAAGGACGAGGTTGGTCGAGGAGCGTTCGCGGGCTGGATAGTTCAGCCGGCTGACGATCCCGACAATAATAGCACGGTCCACTCTAACGTGGGGTGCGACGGGTGTGGTATGATGCCCATCCTTGGCAAAAGGTTTCATTGTCTCGATTGCCCGGAGAGCTGCGGGTACGATTTATGTCAAACTTGCTATAACCGCGGGGTGAACTTGCCCGGGCGGTTCAACCAGTGCCATACGCCGCGGCACCGCATGGAGGAGCGGTCCTTACGAAGCCCCTGGATCTTCGTCTGGGCCTGGTGAACCTGCCAGGGTTGTCGTGGAAGACGACGTCGCTGAATTGAAACTACCCTCGCACACTCTCTCACATACACACAATCTTTTCTGTAGAAACCGGCCTTCAATCTGTAGATGTCTTTCTTAGTTTGTAGGCCGGACATGGCTCACGAGCCTGATCGCGCACAATCATGTTTGCGGACTCATGTAACATGAGCTGAATCAATTGTGGTGCGACTTGAGAGCTTGTAACTTGATCACTGTCACTGGCAAAAGATTGCAGATCGTTGTTGTGGTCTATGAACTCCGCAGCAAGCAAGTTTTGCCAGTGCACATTGCTTGGTCGTTTGTTTCAGATAAGCTTCGCATTTTTTTCTGCGGATGCATAGATCTGAATTTGCCATGGCAGTTATATTCTTAACCTCGTCGACAAACAATCAACACTTTCGAACTGGTTTTTCTATGTCGTGATAATTTGCCAGGAATAAAATAATCGACAATTTTTTTTTAGCTCATTGAGTCGATCATCTCTCCCTCTCTCATTGTAAACATGAGTTGATCCGTGACATTGCAAAACAGCCCTCATGGTTTCTCAAGACCAGGTGAAGCCAGTGCACACGCACTCATAAACTCACACGGTGCATTGCACTAACTTTTGAGCAAGCACTTCCACAGTCTTTTTCTTTCTGCAGACTCGTGCTTCTGAAAACATGGAACAGTTACTATCTTTATCGACAATGTGCGACAATCACGCGCATTTAGGCACTTGGGGTGGGTATTAAATTGGAATCCAAGCTATATTCCGACTGTAAATGTTGGAGGTAGCAGGGGCTCGGGCAGGTAGAGCCGAGGGGCAGACTCGGCGGGCAGAAGGGCGAAATCAATCTGGGCTTTGTCTTGCTTGTGTTGTGGCTGAGCGGGGGGTTGCGCTTGGTTGTTTGCGAGAGTGGGGGCGTCTGGTTGTGGACGGGTCGCCATAGCCCATGCTTACGAGCTGGAGGCTGCGTCCTTGGCTTCGCGGCGCCTGCGAATGGAACCCCCACGTCCGGAGCATTCTAACGAGGTGATGCACGCGCGGTGTGGAGCTATGTGCAGGGCGATGAAGCTCCCGGAAGGCAAGGGAGCTGTGCCGTGGAGATCTTCCTTGGATATGCGTTTAGTAGAAGCTGACGGTAGGGTCTGGTAGGGACAGCAGGAAATTCAGAGATTTGTGGCGGAGACAGCCGTTGTGATGATCAGTGGCTTGCCGAGCGGGGCTGCGGAAGGGGGCCCCGTGTCGTCTTCGCAACCTTCCCTTGAGTGGAAATTCTCGCAAGTGTTTGGTGAGCGCGGCATCGGTGAAGAAGTCCAAGAAGGTACTACGATCTTATGCCCTTTCGAAACTTTCCGCATTTTTAGTGTTCGACATCTCCATCTCCCACAGGCCGTCGACTGTCTTAGTAGTCACGTCAATCTCTTTAGATCGACAAACGAGGATGCGGATCCACCCTGGGACTTTTTGTTTTCCACTGAGTGTTATTCTGCTGGGGCTCAGATTGTGACCGATGGATTTGAGGAGCACGCTAAGTGTTAAGTTTGTCGTTGATCCAAATTGTCATCTAATGCTGGCTGAACTTTCTTGGAGAAGCCATGTAGGATCGGCAATTCGTTGCTACTTTCTAAACATACAAACCACTCTCCAGCCAATTCTAGTCTACCGCTTCGTGGACAACGATTTTTCACTCTTCACACCATTTCTCCATTTTTGGGAACTAGATTTCTTAAACCCTAATGGGAGGTTTCAGTCTGGAGCACCAATTAGTACCATTAGCTTTCCTTTTCAGTTTCAAAGCCTGGCGAGTTTTTTTAATGTGTTCAAACTTGTTGATCGACTTCAATGCGAAATTTTCTCCTGTGCACCATATCATGGGTTGGTCAGATCCTTTTTCCCCTGTGACGTAATCTTCCGCTTAAGAACGCTAAAGCTGCAATGAGTTTGCTTCCAGTAGGTTCCATACGTATGTCTGACTTAAATCTAGTTGTAACTTTCTACTCGTTATTATGGCAGTCGATATCATCTCGGCAATTGAGTTTGATAAATCTGGGGAACATTTAGCAACTGGGGATCGAGGAGGACGTGTTGTGTTGTTTGACAGAACGGATGGCGTAGAGGTGAGTTTTCGTTTTCACAAACTTAGGATGTTGGATGCTGTAGACTTATCTTTCGCTACGTCGGTCTCTTTAAACTTGCGTCTGAGCAGTACATAAAATTACAGATCGTGCTTTGCTAGATGTTTGAAAATGTCCACATCCTAAGAAAGAATATAACACGGTATTCGTGCTAATGCTTATTTTTCCTTCTGCAGCAACGCACACGCAAGGAGTTGGAAAACACGGATTGTTCACCATCCAGGCATCCAGATTACCGATACTCCACAGAGATTCAAAGTCATGAACCCGAGGTGACAATGATTGTTTTTACTTGTTTATTTTGTTTGTTTAAATATTGATAATTGTTGTTGTGTAATTGCTTATCTTGTTGTTGCATGTGTACTTGCCTATCTGCAGTTTGACTACTTGAAGAGTCATGAGATAGAAGAAAAGATAAATAAAATCAAGTGGTGCCACACTGCCAATGGTGCTAAGTTCCTGCTGTCTACGAATGATAAAACGATTAAATCTTGGAAGGTACTTACAGCTGACGGTGCTTGACCACGAAAACATCTTACGTCTCCTATTGTTGACTAAGACTTTTGGGTGGCTCCTTTTCTATTGCATAACTTTTTGCCATATTACAGGTATCAGAGAAGAAGTTGAAACAAGTATCTAACCTGAATATAGCTCCTGGAGTTTATGGCAACGGCAGTGCAATATCCAGCAGCCTGTCACTTAACCCAACAGGTTTTTGCCCCCGCTCGCGTTCCTTCCCATTCAGCAGTGACTCCGATTTTATGTTTCCACTTGGCGGGATCCCAGCGCTGCATCTTCCCTCGGTAGTCGATCATGCTCCCATCTCTTAACTGCCTGATCACTACGTACATTAATTACCCTGTTCCTTCTAGGTTCTCTGAAGACTAGAGATCTCTGTAGCTCGGTTTCTGCGGCATGAGACTTACATTTTTGCATGTGTGTCACAAAGATCTTGGTCTCTGTACTCCTCCTTGATACTGTCTATTGATGTGCTTTAAACCATGAGTTGTAGGTTTCAAGCAATGAGTCAACGTTGGTTGCTAGGTGTAGAAAAGTATATGCCAATGCCCATGCATATCACATCAATTCCATCTCCACTAACAGGTAAGCTTTTATTTCAGACCCTGTGCTGTCGATAAGTGTACTATGACATATTAGCTTACGTCGTTTATTTTGCGCTGATTCGTCACTGTAACAACAGAGCCCGAAAGAGCACGCTTCACGTACTTGCAAGCATGTGTCATCGGGAAAGGAATTACTTAATCAGTGGCGATTCGCAATGTGCAGTGACTGTGAAACGTACATCTCTGCGGATGATTTGAGAATAAATCTTTGGAACCTCGAAGTGAACGATCAAAGTTACAACATAGTTGACTTGAAACCAGTCAATATGGAGGACCTTACAGGTACTGTTCCGCAGACTGCCTTCCTTGGAAGACGTCGACATAATAGGATATGTTTTTGATTCGTTTACTCTGAAATAGTGTTTGTCGTAGTACGAGGACGAGGCTAGTTGGTGCCTTTAATTCACTGGGTTGGCTGTCGTATGTACAGAGGTCATAACGTCAGCAGAGTTTCACCCTACGCATTGCAATGTGCTAGCATATAGTAGCAGTAAAGGGTCTATCCGGCTCATTGACATGCGCCAGTCAGCTCTTTGTGACACACACGCAAAACTGTAAGTCTGTATACACATCTGTCTGCAAATGCGACTAGTGTTCTTGTGGTTTTAGAGCAGTTCATCTTATAAATATATTTTGACAGTGATGTCTTGCTTTACTAAGTTGTAAATTACATTTCTTTTTCTTTTCTAAAGAGGGTGGCTTCTTTATTTTTATTTCAGATTTCAGGACATAGAACCCGCAGCAACAAGGTCTTTTTTCACTGAGATTATCTCTTCTATCTCTGACATTAAGTTTGTAAGGAGTGGTCGATACATTCTTAGTCGAGATTACATGACTCTAAAGGTTTGTACCATCCGTTTATCTACGCATCGTCTTTTATACTAGTTGAAGGGTGCATTAAGATTTTTAGGCAAACTTTAAGTTGAAGAAACTGCTCATTTTCGTGTATGTCATTTGCAGTTGTGGGACGTGAACATGGAAGCGGGTCCCGTCGCGACTCTGAAGGTTCATGAGCATTTGCGGCCGAAGGTTCTCATCCCGAATTCTACACATCACTCTTTTCTGCTTATGCTCCTCGTATGTTTGACAAATTTTTGACACATTATGCCTCTTAGAGATCAAATATCCCGAATGATTCTGTGAGGCGAGCTCTAATGTGATACGGTATTGCCTGCAGCTCTGTGATCTGTACGAAAACGATTCCATCTTAGATAAATTCCAGTGTTGTTGGAGTGGAGATGGTGCACACGTCGCAACTGGCTCCTACAGGTATATCTTCGAGCAGCTTTGTGTCCTACTGGCAGTGTATGTATGGTCGTGGGTTTGAAGCTTTATGTAGTACCAATGACATTTAAATTGACGCTCCACTGTTCCTTGTTTCAGCAACTTGTTTCGCGTGTTTGAGGCGGTTACTGGAGGTGAGGTGTCTTCAATTTTGGAAGCCAGCAAAAGTCCCAACAGGTGTGAATACTCTGGTCAAACGCTTCAACGTCAGTGGACCTTTCGTGACACTTGTTGAAAGTTAACAAGGCATGGATAGTCCACTAGCTTTCTTTAAACTATTATGTTTATTTGCGGTTACGGTAATCGTTGATCCCACATGTGTGTTACTAGACGAAATGCAACCCCACCGTCGAGACTTTCAAGTCAGCTGGTCAACATTGCTCGAGGCTGTTGCGACAACCGACGAGGTCAGTTTCTAGACAAATGAGGTTTTTAGTAGTTTTACTTCCATTGCTATGGGCTTTGGATTCCAGGATGTTCGGAGATGATGTTTAATCTAACATCCATCTCCGTGTTGACCCAGGAGGAAACGAGAACCCTGGTGCAGAGAATGGAACGTATGATTATACTGCAAAGCTTCTGCACTTAGCGTGGCATCCCGCAGCCAATTTGATTGCCTGTGCTGCATCCAACAGCTTGTACATGTACTATGCTTAGGATCACCCCATTAGTAGCTCCTTTCAGTAAATTCATTTCTGATTATTTGCAGTATCGTCTCTTCATTGTTTTGGGGATTGCAATGGCATTTATTATTTTAGTTTTCTCGTCTGGTATCTTGTCCAGTGGTTCGCTTTTTCTACTGCACTCCATTGTGCTTGTCATAATAATAATAATAAAAAAAAACAAAACGTTTTTATTTAAAAAATAGTCTGTCTGCAAGTAAAAAGCTTATTTTTATACATTGCGAATCGTCGTTTGGATTTACAGGGAAACAAATGAATTTACAATTTTTATAGCATTTTACATTTATTAAAAATTAATCTGCTAAGTTTTAATACAATGAATTGGGATTTCTGTAAGTACAAAATTAACAGAAGTTACGATTGATTTTTGTTTTATGAAACCAACCAGGTAAACTTAAAGCTACTTAATGAAATAATTTTGGTCATTGAAAATCAACCCCGACAATTGATGTTTGGGAGGGTGAAAATATGAAATTGGTGTTCATCCAAATAAAAAGAACTCTAGCAAGTTTATAGATTTTTGATCTATCTGCCTAATTTGTTAGCTTATAGATAAAGACAATGGTTTAAAGTTGTTTGGTGAACCTAATCAAAGTGTGACTCAATTTAGGGATGCAATGGTCATGGGCCAACCTTTGCATCTGAACAAATTCTTTCTAGTAGACTTTACAATGTCCATAAGTAGGGTTAAAATTTCTTTATTTATTTATTTTTTCCAGTGCCTATGTAGCAAGTGTGAGGGCCAAATCCTTTATCGCAAATGAAAATCTACTAGTTAATATTTATTTGCAACTCTAGTTTAGAGTTTTGTTCTAAAAAATGGACAGTTTTGAGGACAACGCACATTTTTTCTTGCCAAACATTACACATAATAATAAATGGTTTTTAAAGTGTTTTAACCAATTATTGTTATTATTGTTCTTTATTTTATTTTCTTTCTCTCAATTGCTTTTATTTTTACTTTATTTTTACTTTTTTATTTCTTCTTGCCAGAGAGACATATCCACCATGCTGAAATTCCTAAATATTTAATTTCCAATTTTTAATGGTGATTTTTGTTAGTTTTATTTTAAAACATTGTCAAAGTTTTTGTCATATCATTTCTTTAACTATTTATTTTTACAAAATTAGCCTTTAATTTTTAAATGTAATTTTTCAAATTGAAAAAAAAATTAATAAGATGAAAACACTATAAGTAGATACTTAATTAAGTAGATAAATAGGTAAATGGATTACTCAATAAAAATAATTTTGGTTAATTAATTTTCACTACACTATAAAGATATAGATTTCTTTTCAGTATTCTCTTTGACCCATTTTGGACATATAGACCTATCTAATTTTGATTAGTGGTAGGTTACAAAACCAAGAATCCAACTTTTACAACTTACATCTATCAATGTTATCAAACTTCACCTAATTTTGTGATGCCTACAGGTGTAAATATGTTGATGAGGCAAGAAAAATTCAAACATTGAGTTGTAAGTAATCCACTATGTTTGAGTTAGATTTTTGCCACCATTCTTCCTTGTTTCTTCTCATCTCCAAACAATATTTAGCACATCCTCCATCTTTAAATCTTGCTATAATGACTTCCTAATTCACTAATGTATAGTCAACTGCCACATATGTACAACTCCACTAATACATAAATTGATTTTTCACAATTTATGCATATTAATTCCAAGTACAATGAATTATTTATATTATTCACAATTTAACATCATTTACACAAGACCCCAACCTATTTCCAACCACAAAATGTTAGAATTGGTTGACTGCAGAAATACCCCATCCTATAGTTTGAATATGGGGGTGGTTGACAATTGGTCTGCTACCTTATTGGGTATAATGCCTTACTGCTACCTTATTAGGTATAATGCCTTTAAGTTTGTTTAAATGTGGACTTGTTCAGGGCACCATGTCCTCAAATGCGGAATCTTCCAAGACAGTGGCGATCCACAGTGCCATGAATGTCGTATTTTCAAACACCGCTAACATGAGCAGAGTTCATGTCTAGGCTCCTCTGATCCGTGCCTTTCAACTGTACCCTCCTTCGTTAACACGAATCTCAAAAATTTCCTTGTTATTGATCAAAGTTAAGCAGGAATTCGTGGGTACAGTCGACGTTCTCACACATATGAATGCCACCCCCAAGCGGCCTCACTAAAGCAACCTACTGACAGACTTTGACAGGAATGCCGTGCAGCACAATTGGTGCAACGTACTCTGAGAAGACATAAATAACCCACCTGGACTGTAGCAATATAGTTTGATACCCTACCCCGGCTAGATATTTCGTGTTACAGTGTTGAAAGAACAAGCTTTCAGGCTTGTGTGACAAGGTTCTAATAAGTGAGGTCCTTAGTAGAAATTTATCCAGTCAGGGTCTTTATGAGGTTTGGAAGATGTGTGACAAAACCAGTAGAGGCAGTGCACTTTTGAATGAAATCCTGCAATGGATTCATGAGCGACTAGGACTTGAGAGAGAACTGAAAATTTGTTATGGATAGCAAGATTTATTAACAGATTATTGTAGCATTGAGACTTCTCCGAGCCGTCGAATGCTGCGAGAACTGTTGTGATTGCAAGCATGTTTTTGATCTCTACCTTAAAATAATCAAAGTAACGTGACTAAGAATAGTTCATTGGGTCCCAATTTCCACACCAAATAATGATATATTCTCTAAAAACTCATTGATTTCTAAAACATTTTACAACATTCTTTCACACTAAAATTAAGGGTCGAGAATTGGTTATTTTGTGACTAAAAAGGACTCTTTGCCGCTCATACGGTACGAGTATCATCTACGGAGTTGATGACCTCTGACGTTGGCACCTTTCACTCGAGCGTTAAGTTCTTCTACATCGTACACTAGGTGAGCCAAGCCTTCAGTTTGTCTGCGTAGACATGGAAACCCAAGTTCGACTTAGAAAACATCTCTATGTTACGGACAGGAAGTGCCAGTGACGCAAGAGCATAGTCGCAAGAAAAAGGAGAAAAAAACGTACTTCGAAATTTCCGAATTAATTAAGAGGGACATGTTCTTGAGCTGGCCAATCAGGTTGCTCAGATCGCTCAACGCTTCATCGTCCTGGGCTACCAGAAAGAGATCGGCACTACTATTTTCAGAACAGTGTGATGGAATTTCTAAAAACACAATTCAGAGATGCAAGAAAGACGAATTGAAACCCCATTGTGACATGTTCCGAGGAATCGGGAATATGTGGTAAAAACCTCCATTAATGGATGCCGCACTTTGTCGGATGTCCTCTCCACCTTCACTGGTATGAGATCCTCCCCATCCTCCTCACAGGAATAGCTACCACGGTTCACCTCTTTCGGGACCGAAGCTGAAGAAGCAAAATGCGCAGAGCTCACTTCAAGCGCATCATCGTCGTCATCAAAAGGGTTGACGTATGAAACCTCGCTGTCAGATGTCTCAAATGGGTTTGTCGACTGCTTCCCGCAGTGCCCCACAGCCATGGCTGTCTCAAATGGGGCTTTAATTCAAAGATATTGAAAAACAAAATCTTCTCGATCACTACACCTTAGCCACTGCTGAACAAACAATTCAAATCTGTTGACTTCCGCAACCTTCACCAAACCACACGAGACGCAGAAGACCTCACAATACAAACCTCCTCTAACATCCGCTCTGTGAACTCCAGAACCCTCAATGAGCATGCCACCAATTCGTAACTCCTGAGAGGCTACAGCAACTCCGGATCTCAGCGAGAATTCTCACCAGCTGCGATAATCAGATAGCTATTCTTCCAGTACCAACAGGCTCGATAATTGGCAACGTCCACAGCAGCGAGAGTCTGGAGCGGCTGCCCAGAAAGAGAACTCCGAGCTGGCTGGTGGGCGACACGGAGCAGATTATTGTAGCAAATTGGAGTTGACAGAGTGACGGTGGAGGTGTGAATGAAGTTGGCGGTAACGAAAGGACAGCTGCCAACGGAACTGTTTGAGAATTTTTGAAATTTGGACCGCATTTGCGCAGTTATCAAAGACCGTGAGCCACGTCGCCAATAAGGTGTAGGACAGCACCAGTGACCGCGAGGTTCCGGCACCTTGTCATCATGCATATTTAGTGTCCTGTACATTATGGTTAGTCCTCAGTGAATGTCGCCCAGTTGTGCTAACAAGTGGGATTAAGACTGGGATAATTGGTTATCGAATTTTTGCAACATTTATACAAAGTTATTTCGGAAACGTTTGCCTGTGACAGGGGCTAACGTTTGTCGTGTTCATGGGGATATCATTTCCGTAGGCCGGAAAATTATGCCCGATGTTACAAGGGAAGCATCATTAATCGTTTTGATTGTTCGTGTTTCAATTCAGAATCTGAATGTTTACGTCCCGCACAAACTTGACTGTTGTATTGGTGGAATTAGAAGAGAATAAAATATATCTGTCAGTAGTGTATCAGTGAACAGATGGGGGCCGAATAGTGTCTCCGGATAGTGATTCTCAGTCATGAAAGAGGATTTCAAAGATGCATTTGCCTTCACATAGCAGTTGATCACTGCTGGGGATATGAATGAAGCATGTTTGTGAATAATCGCAACGCATGGGTTTCAACTTAAATCTGACATGTTCTTAATGTGAGACTCTTCCAAAACAATCTTGGTCAATTGGTGTGTGCACACGCTCGACTTTGTTTTACATTCACTGGGAGTCGAATAATTTGACTACAGAGACATGAAGTTGATACAATCCCTATGGCAACATACTTAGCCTCTTGCATACGAATGAACCAAGCATGCATGCACAAGACCAGGTGAAAGGAAACTTCATTTACTCCATTGTTGACAACGAAGAGAGCTTCCGAACGGCTGACTCAATTCACAATGTTCCGCTGCCTAAACACAACTAGAATGTAAGCAATGTACAGCGGCAATTAGTTTTTACTTGCAGAAATGAAAAGAAGAATCATTGCGAGCAGATGGAGAATGGTTGATGCTGATTCAGATTTAGAAGAGGGGCGAGATGGAGCCCATAATTACAAAAGTGGCAAATGCAGGGCCTGATGATCGACTAATCCTCTGGGATGGATCAGAACGCGTGAAGGTGTCAAGGTGTCGGTGATTCAAGTGATACGTGCGTGATTCACATGTTGAAGAAGCATTTGATGAGGCGGAGGATGCCGTAGGTGATGAGCATGGCCAGCCACCCGCCAGACAGAACCCGGAAGGCTGCTTTGAATATGTTGGCACCACCAAGACGGGCACCGATGGCGCCGAAACAGGCGAGGGCTAGGGACGCGGAGGCGACAATGGAGGCTAGTCGGTAGGGGTAACTGGAGATGAAGGAGCCCGCAAGGAGCGGCACTGCGCCGCCGGAGGCAAAAGCGATGGCAGAAGCGAGGGCTGCTTGCCCAGGATTAGAGAGCTCGTCCAGGTCAATGCCCAGCTCGTCTCTGGCGTGAGCCTTCAGAGCGTCCACTCTGGACAATTCCTCCGCCACCTAACAAACATTTTTTTCATCACGCGAGAATTAGTTTCAAAGCGAGTCTTGAAGCGAGCTGAGCGAATAGTATATTTTAAAAGTTAGGTCACTGTATTGAGAGTCATTGTTGTTACCTGTTTTGCGAGGTAATAGCTGAGGCCCCGACTCACGTAGATCTGCGTTAGTTCTTCCAGCTCCACATCGGGGGCAAGGAGAAGCTCCTGCATAACGTTCATGTCATCCGGTAAATGAGGCTAGATTCCGTAGAGTCGAGGATTGACACTTACCTTTGAAGATCATCAGCAACAAACTTCCGTTGCATTGCGGTAGAGAAAGAGTTAACAGGTATAACAGTCACGACGACATACTGTATTGCAACATCCAGTAAATCATACTCCATCCTCGAATCTGCAAAGCGGGATACAAACCTTTTTCTACACTGTAACATGAGCCCAGAGTGACTACATGAACGTATGTCATAATATCAGATCTTATCTGGTTTAGAAACCAGTGATGGTTGCGGAACGACTCGATAGAGATCACCGTGATCTGAGGGTGCATGAGCTCATTGCAACCACCATGATCTTGAGAGACGGTACGAGCTTCACACACAGGACACCTAGCACCCAGAGGATGCACGTTTTCCGACCCCCATCCCAAGAGACTTCTATATCATTCCCCTGGATGATTTTATGGAAGGCGGGCACTGACACAATATTCTCGAAACGGGGCACTTGTATGAGGAGAGGGGACTTTCATTATCATCTCATTAGCGGTTGATAATTGTGAGGTTGGCGTCTGTTATATCATCTAGAGATCTGCACGATCCCAGAATTTATGTTCTCTGGATACTACATATATCTCGCGCAACCATGGCTCCGTAACATCCCTCTAGTGAAGAAAATAATCGTTTAAAAAAAGAAAAACAGAAATGAAAAGAAAAGAGACAGCTGATAGCGCTATGAATTTATGTGACTGGCATGTACAAATAAGTTTCCATAACAAAATAAAACTTTTGCAGACTTATTTCATTTTGCATAGCTGGAAACGTATGTAAAGGAATCGGAAGTTACGATTTAACCATGAGAACTCATAACAAGACACGACAATGACAAGCATGGGAATCTCCTATCTGACGAGTAGAATTTTATTGTAGAGGAATTCGAAAGAAACGCTGAGTACCTTACGCTCGATATTTAGATCAGCGAGCTCGCTATCGCGTTGCGAGAACACAGACACGAACTCCCCGATTGCCATACTGCAAGCGCCGGCGACGAGTCCCGCAACGCCACTGATGACGGAGGCTCTACCGCTCTCGGCCATGACCACCGCGTCTACGCCAAGCATCAGGGATGTGATGGATACCAGGCCGTCGTTACCACCCAGGACCAAAGCTCGCAGCCAAGGCGCTCGGTGCGAGTAGTGAGGGGACTTTTTGGGAGCTGTGATTTCATCTTCAAGCGGTGCCTTGGATGAGGTTGGGGTAGCGAACATCGGCCTTTCCTCTACATCGTAGTTGGAAGGACGGCCATGCAGGTACGTGATGCGTCTGGAGGCTGAGAGCTCGGTGGCTTGGTCTGCAATTGGAACCCCCATTGTGCTAGATAGAGTTTGAAAATGCAGAAGTTCACTTGTAAAAATGAATGTGTCGGAGAAGAAACAAAAAATGTCGGAGACAATGTGTCACCGTTTCAATGTCGACGTTGTGCTGAAGCGTCGAAAGGACCGTAGGAATTACCGTAGCAACACTAAACCTCTACGCCTTCGATTACCGAGAGTCTGACTTCCATAGAAGCAGTTCGATAAAAACCTCTCTTAAACCACAAAAGCAGGAGGTGATGGACGAAACTAGCGGTTTGGCCTACGAGCATATACAACAGCAGCAAAACCTGCTATTGGCTGATAAACCAGCCACTGCTTTAACCGCACTGAACGGTAATAGCAGCTAGTACTGTCTGTGAGCACCCGTACAACTGCAATGCTCAGTGATTTGCAAAGTTGTGCACACTGATTATCACCATGAACAAGTGCAGGACTGTCGTGAACACCACTAAGCGCCCGAGGAACTTCCACGGTGGTATACGTTCTCAAACTACAACTATCAAAGGCATGTGAAACAGAAGGTTTCCTCCCTCATCGATTAGAACCTCGGACTCTGCATCTCCCACTGGCCTCCACCAGATTGTCAGACTCACTCCTGAAGACCTCTTTCTCATATAACTTGGCTCCGGACTCAACGAGAAAACTAGCAAAGAGTAAATCCACCTTCAAGCTAGTTGTAACTTCAGTCCCAGAGCTCAAAATCTCATGGAATCACCTCGCCTAGCCCTCAGGTACGAATCACGAGGTTTAATTTCCCTCTATTCAACTTGAGAACTGGAGAGATGAAGATCAACCCAATTTGCGCTTCAGAAAAATCTCTTCACAATGCACTTAAACTGCAAGGGGGAAACGATAAGGAAGTCGCCTCACAGGAGCTGCTGCAAACGAGCCATAGTCTGAACGCGGCTGGCTCAATGCAAGGCTCCCGCGGCGACCGAGCTGAGAGCGCTGAGAAGCGAGGGCTGGCAACTGGGAGAGGGGATGCTGCTGCAGCTGATACGAGAGAGCTGCCGCGCATCCCAGAGTTTGTAAAGGACCCAATGGGGCCCGGAGGGTGAGCGTGGAGGCCACACGAGCCACCACAAACCGTCCGATGAGGGATCCACGGCTCACGGCGGGCAAGCGGGCCCCGGCAGCGCGTGCCGCCCACTCGCGGAGGCGTTACTGGTTGGGGAAGGGGGGGGTGGGGCTGGCTGGCTGGCTAAGCGCAATGCAAAGCATGAGAGAGAGAGAGCCTAGAGCGTCGTCACGTTGAGCAGGCCATTAATCTGCAGGTTAGTCATGATCCCCCTCCGCGTGATTCTCCACTCCCTTTGCTAATTTACCCTCACGATCCCCCCATTGCCCTGCAACCCAACCACCCCACCCAGCCAGTCAGTGAGGGAGGGAGTGAGGGAGAGTGCATAGGAGCTGCTCCACCACCACTGAAGCGGCGCAGCTCCTGCGCGAGGAAGCGCCACGCCTGCTCCTGACCCCACCCCCGCCCCCGCTCCCGCGGCGCGTCACCACCCCCTTGTCTCCCTCACCGGCCCCGCACTCCCTGTGTGTGCTATCTGCTTTGAACCCTGCCGTTCCCAGTTCCCAGTTCTCATTTCCTGCGCTTTGCAAATCGGTGCTTGTCAGTGTTATTAAGTCGTGTTTTTTTCTCTCTTCTGTTTTTTAGGGAAACTCGGGTTCTAGAAAGATTGGAATGGTAAATTAATTTTATGGTTGGAGAATGGTTGTTTTTATGGGGTCTTTTGTGGTTAGAAGCCCATTTTGAAAGGTAATGGTTCAAATGTTTTATCAAGGTCCCCTTTGTGGTTACAAGATATTTGTCTTTTGGATAGAATATAAAATGGGAAGAAGACATGAAATGTACCGAATCATTCTTGTTTGTTTTCACAATTAGTCTACATGTGTCACTTCATATCTTGATTCTAAAAATTGTAAGAGGTTTAAAAAGTTGATGCTAGGAATTTTTATTTCAGGAAATTTGGCAATTTTTGACCAAGCTTCTTGATTTTTTTTAAAAACCTCATTTTAATATGGGTCCAAAACAAATTCTAAGGGGCAATACTGTTCATGCTATGTAGTGAAAAAAAAGTGCCATCCACCTTATTTTTCTTCTTATGGCCTTTGGGCTAATTTTTTTTGGGTGTAAAGCCAAGTAAGACTTCTTGATTTCAATTAATGAAAAGATTTTCAAAATTTTGGCCTCTCACCTTGTCCTTCTAAGCATAAAGATCTCTTGATGTGTAGAAAAAGAATTCTTTTTTTGTATGTATGAATGTGTATATATATATATATATATATATTAAAATATTTTTATTTTATTTATGATCAAATAATATATGTTTATTTTTTTTGAAGCTATAATTACCATAAATCAATTTTGATATAATATTGATTTTTTGATTTTTTGATTTAAATATCATAATATTTTAGATACATGATAAATTTCATTTTTTTTTTGAACATATATGTTTTTATTATTAAAAAATCTATTTTTCTATCTTTAAAACTTCTTAAAAGGTATGAATGTGAAAAAATTATGAATCAGCTTAGATTGTTTATTCAATTAAAATAAATATAACCAGTACAATAAATGGTATTAGTTTTGTAAGAGAATTATATTTCCAGAAAACTCACCAACCTTATAATAACAATAATATTTGCCTTTGAATTATGCTTTTGTATTAAAGTTGGTCTTGTGTTTTTATATATTATCATTTTATAATAGTATTTTATTTTATTTTTTGGGTTAAAAAGTTATTTATTTATTTATCAATAAAAGAGGTTATTGCTTCAAGAGCAATGTGTTAAAGCAAGCTTTTGATATGTAGTAATGAATCACAATGGAATTGAACATAACCAAGAATCACACAAATGCTTTTTCACAAAAATATGATAACCTAACAAAATAATAATGATACTAAGAAGAGTAATAAGTAAGAAAAGAAATACATATTATTCATACACATATGTTACTTGCAAAAATAGTAAAGTAAATACTTAGAACCATGAAAATGCAATAGAGAAGAAATATTCAATTTATATATTTTAAACAGTATATATATAAGAAGTTAACAATGATTTATTTATTTATTTATTTATTTTCTCTGAATCAGAATTATTATGAAACACTATGAAATTAAAAAGAAAAAGAAAAAGAAAAAGAAAAAAGATTGTTTAAAGTAAAAATTCCCCTGTTTTTCTTGTACATATCCAATGATCTAGTTAATCAAATGATTGTTTGTAATACATTTCACCATTCTTGATAGTAATGAAAATTTATGAAACTGTAAAATAAACAAGAAAACACAACATTATCTGGTGAGTGGAGAAGATTAAAAAGTTGAAGATATTTCTAATTATATCCGAAATGTATTTGGTAGTACCATTTATTTTTCCCCTTAATTACTCGTCCATAACTAAAGTTGTTCATTCATTTATGTATATTTCTATTTTATCTTTAATTTCAAAATCTAATATTGAGGAAATGCATAAGGTAGTGACAATTGCAACACTGCATTTTCCATGCTACATGGTTGCTAGAAGTCATATGATGAATTTCAAAAGTGGATGACAGCAGGGATACATCCAAAACAAATGTGGTGAATTCGAACAAATATTTTTATACTCGAGGACAGACAACAGTGTTCTAAAAACATATAAAGACATGCTAAGAACTTATTTTGTGAGAGTTATTTCCACACAAGCAAAACACGCAATGTTGAGGAGCCATGCGCGCGGGATTTGGAAGCCTTACGTAGCATGGCGTCATAAGAAACCCGGCCAGGACAGGGACCAGGCAAGTAACGGACCGGGTATCAATAGTGAGGGCCATGAATAACCTCCTCCTCCACCTGCTCTGCCCCTTGAAACCCCCCCCCCTTCATCAAATCCTTAAATGGATTATCAGCTCATTCATTCTTCCATATTCTGAGCACGCCAACCGAACGCCTTCACTGCCCATCCCACGAACGTCATCCACGAAATTGGATGAACTATTGGATGAAAACGGTCACCGATTCCCGAATCGCTCCAGGAATTAGGGATGAACGTGGTCTCTGACGTGACTCTAATTCTTCTTCAGTCATCCGTTCCCCTCACGTTCTCATGAAGGAAAGGATACGAAGCAGGTGGTGGTAGAGGCGGAGCCACATGGGCTGGGGATTGGCAGAGTGGTGGGGAGTGGGAACGGGGGTGAGAGGGCAGTTAAGAGCCGCGGCAGGGTGCCTTAATGTCTCAAGGCAGTCCAGTCCAGTCCCCTGACCTCCCTAATAAATCTACGCTGTGGTGTTCCCTTCCTTTTACTTTTATCGTTGCCTTCCTTCTCTGTTCTGCTCTGTTCCTTTTGCTTTTTGTTTGTTTTATTTGCTTTTGTTTCTCTTCATCTGCCCATTTCATTATGGCACCCTTCTCCACTCCACTCCCTTCCCCAGCCCTGCCAGATTTGACTTCTCATAAAACAAGGAAATGGAATTGAAAGTCGCAATCCTTTTTGACTCTCTTTTCTTTGCCGGGCAGATATGCATGCTAACACTAGGAAAAAATCAATCCAAAACTTAAAAAATCCGTAAATACAAGAGGATTTTCTTAATAAATTAAATTTTGTACATGTACATTAAACTTACTAATCATGACGTTTTCTAAACATCAAATTTGCTACGGCAAGACTCAGAAAGTTAAACAAATAAGTTGAATTAAATAGTAATGGAATATATACCTGGGTATTTTGAAAGCCCATATCAGCTTTTATGAACTTACATCTGGGGATTCCTCAGGAATGCCCCAAAAAGTCCAAGTGACATAGAGATGACATGAGTCAGGAAGCTTTTCTTAGTTTTACATGTTCCCTTTGATTATGTTGCATAATGCCTTTGTGTGTGTGTTGGAAAAGGGCCAACATTTGTGCAGTGAGTCTGCAGATATGGTGGCAGTCACAATTGAGAAGAATATGAGGGTTCCCTGCCAAAGTAATTAATGTTCCATAGCTTGGTTGCTTCTCTCCATGCCTTCTCTTGAAAACTCAACAATTAATGATAAAACTAACGATATATATATATATATATATATAAACCCTAAACCCTGAACTCTAAACCATGGCATGCTTTCATGCAATGTGTAGGTCACATGTTTCTAATTTACATTTTTTAATCTTGTTTTCTAATAACGTCCTTTAAGCACCATGTCAGGATTTGAATCAGATTCATTTCTGGCCAAGTCAATTGAGAAGCTTGGAAAACCAAATCCCAAAAGTGTGTATCATTTAATTTAATTTTAATAATTTATTTTTTTCCAGGTTTTATAACACATATATTTTCTTTTTTCTAAGCACCATGAGTGGACAGAAATCTTACTGTTGGTGGCCTGCAGCCACACGGATTTAATTTTTGATTTATTTACTATTGTTGTTATTATTACTGTTGGAACAAATGGAGATGTAGACATGAAACCTAACCCCTTGTAGGGTTTGGTGTGTTGTTGTGACGGTGATGCTATGACAACTAATTTGATGTCCCTGAACATTTTGCAAAATGCAGATAGCCAAGGAAGGTTACATCCCTTTTAATTTTTTCAGAATCCAAGGCTCAGTCTGTCCTCTGTTGTTTTTGCATTGCTTGGGAAAGAAAATAATATAAAAAAAATAAATAAAAGGCCTTGCAAATGTCATTGTGCTATTGCCACCAGAACTTGCCATCCACTCAATGTATTTTTTCAAAATTTTCATCCCAACCAATTCTTCTAATATATATATATATATATATATATATATGTGTATACTTCAAATTATATTTTGAACAACACCCACATTATGGAATTTAGTTATAATATTTTTTGATTAGAATAACATAAATAAATAAATATTTTAGGTGAATGATCAGTTATAATGGTTATAAAAAAATTAGCAATATACTATATATATAATATATATATTTTTTTTACTAAACACATTTAATACCACAAATATTTATCATCATAGTTAAGATTATTTTATAAGATTTTCCATCTATTAAATAAATGTGTTTGAATATATACTCATAAATTTATAAATAAATTATAATTATATCATAAAAAATATATTGGAACTATATTATGATTTATTTATACTTTATACTATTTATAAAGACCAAAGCTTCTGAAAAATGATTATTAAAAAAATTAACCACAAACTTTTAAAACAAAATTTTAGACAAAAAGACTTTTTGAAAAATTAATTACACTTAAAAATTACATCTACTATTATCTTCATCCTTAATAATATATATATATATATATATTGATTTTTTTTTACTAATTTCATTATTTACTAATTTATCTATGATATATAAATTATAAGTATAAAATAATTTAAATTTTTTTACAATAATAAAAGAAGAAAATTCTATTAATTCAATTTAAAATTTAAAC